TTGCCATGCTCATCAATCTTATAGGGCAATTTTTATACTGCCGTATACATTTTCACCTGTCATAAACCCTATGAGATGGCATATTTTATGTTATTCTCTTAGAAGAGAGGTGGTTTTCCGAGCCTTTCCATATATCTTGCCGCTTTAAGTCGAAACACTGTTTTCTATCGATCTCCGTAAAATTTTTGCTGTTCCCGAAAATTTTTCACATTGTATCATGTGTATAGTGAAGTTTTTTTTGTTATTTTTTTTGAAATAATAGAAATTTATGAGAAATTCGTTTGAGAAAAATTGTTCTCAGCTGGCAGAAAATTGGTTGTTTTGTCTATAAAAATATAGAAAATATAAATTATACGGATTATATAATTATATTTCAATACTTATTTATAGGTGTGCAACAATAAAAACTTTTTAAATTCGGTCTGAAATTCACGTGAAGTTTGAAAATTGATTAGTCCATCGAGCACCAGTGGACCTGCCGACGTTCATTAACCTCTTTCAAACCTCCATCGATCTCTCTTCTGCTGAGGGTCATCGGCTTCCATCAAAAATCCCTCTAAAATCTCAAATCGCTAAATATCCTTTCTGATTCCTCTTATGAAATATCTTCATGCCAACACTTTAACACTTTTTCTTCGTCATTTATTTGCGAAAATCGTTTAAAAAGGAATGTGGGATTTGTCGAAGTCAACATTCCTCGACATTTCCTCTTTTACTTATGAATAGGCATTCCGTTTTAGTTTTAGCCCAAAGGCCTTATTTTAGGCTTTTCCGTTTCCTTTTTCTACTAGTTCGCCTTATTACTGGTTTCGCTTACTCCACTGGCGACTAAAGTAACACTTCAGGATTTCCCAATCTGATACCATTCTGATGCCAAAATAACTAAAGCTGTCCTTTTCGTCGTAGCCCACATATCATTGAATTGCCTATGCAGTTCTCTTCATATGTTTAGTAATTTGTTTGGTTTCACTCATTCGCTTTTTTTCATATATTTTTTTTATAATATTGTTAATAATTTATTTTATTTAATATTTGTATATTTAATATTGTTTTTATTGTTTTCATTGTTACTATTATTTATTAATTTATTGATATTATTTTTAATATTATTTGTATATTTAAAATAAGATTGAATGAAGGAATGAATGTTAAATATTTAAATTATTCATCAGAATTTAATTAATTAATTTTTCTCTGCGGACTCTTTTTTCATATGGTAATTGCCATCTGCCGACAGATATAAAAAATGATTTTCAATAGAATTCAATTTCATTAAGTTGACCTTCGACCTTTTATCGATAAAAATTTATATGGAGGCAGTAAAATAGAACGAAATTATTGGCATTTGGATAATCACTACGATTCGAAAAGAAGAACGAAGCGATCGATCGAACACATATCGACACATATTATGTAATTAATTTTACTATTTTACTTGACAAATTCCATGAAAATATATTTCCTTCACTGATTTTCTCATTCCCTTCTTCCTCCATCAGCTTTCCTATTCCTTCACTTTTAATTCCTTTCTCAACTTCTTTTTCATTCACTTAGTTTTCTCCTTTTTTTTTCTCTCAATTTCTTTCTTTTTGTTCTTTATGCCTCCTCCATTCTTCATATTATACCACTCACCATTTCTGGTTAGATTTTGTGTATTGGTTACTGGTGGGGTGAACTAGAAAGTCACTGGCAATAGAGGACACATGTAGTCACCCACATCATTTGATTAGACAGTGTGGTTGTGCTAGCCCAGAAGCTGTTCACCCCCGTACTTATCCTTTGGCATCGCATTCACCATTCCGCATTTTTTGCCCGTTTATTGTCATCCTTATTCTTCCCATTTCTTTTCCGTTTTCTGCGCGAAAGTGTAATTTTTTTTGACTTCCAACAATGTATTACTTTCTTTTTATTTGTTTTAGAACAAGTTTTTTTGTAATAAAAAAATGATAAAAATTTCAGTGTTACGAATTGCTGCTTATTATCAAATTCGATTATTATTATTTCTCTATTTTAAAAAGAGAAAAAAATGTTTATTAATTGTTTTTACTTTTTTTCTATTTATTTTTCATTAATTGTTGTCATTAAAACAATTTATGCAAATATTAATTTTAATAACAATTTAACGTCAACGCAATTCATTATTCACCGGTAAATTTTTTTCTTTTATTTTTATAATTTTGACTAAAATAATGAAAAATTCTTTATTTTGATTAAACGAATTGAAGAAAGTAAAAAATTAAATTAAAGCGGTGCGTTTTATAAAAAAAAGGATTGCTGCAACATTAGCAGAACGGTTGTTGCTTGACGAGGCTTGGAGTTGGGCTGGAGCGGCAGTGCCGGTCCGATCGGTGCTCGGGCGCCATCTGTGTCTCCCAAGTTGTTTTAGGAGCAATGGCTGAATTTATTTGTGACAGCAGATAGCAGATCGAATTCATCTTCCCCAAATTACTCGATTATAGAATTATAGAATTTCAGTCAGGGGAGCTAACCAGAATTTATTAGCTGCTACAGTACGAAATGAAGCAGTTGGGCAAGATTAATGCATCGCAATTTTGTTGTCTTTTTTCTTCAAGGTCCAAAGATTTACACGGACTATCTCATCAATCCTTCCTTGTTATTAGGATTGTACCGGAGAAATCCCTTTGGATTTCGATTTTGTGGCCAAAGGATGTTTGCTCTTTTGGTGCACTCCTATTTCTTACTCAATCGCCAAAGTTTTGACAGCAAAATGTGACAAACAAAATATAGAATTATTTTAGACGTAATTTTTATTTTATTTTATTTTACTTCATTAGGCAATTTATTCCTACAAATGAAATAATGACTGAAAAAAGTTCCCAACTTTTTCCCGAACATCTGCATATTTTGGAATAGTTGGGTCGTTCCGATTCGCTTTGAGATTTGGCTAAAAAGTCCGCTACACTGGCGATTCATTTGTGCTTCCAATGCCAAAAGTGGCAAAATTCTCTCAAGCAAAAAGTTCTTAACCTTAACAATTAGTGGAGGTAGGTTAATCGAAAGTTAGCAAGTACTTAGCCATCTTACCCACTTATAATAGTTATAATGTTCAATGCTAGACTCGTCTATCAGTCTCCCATATATGGGGAAACTTGTGAAAAAAAATTTATAATATGGGAAAATTTTTTTCATCTATGGGCAAATTAAATTTCTGATTTCGCTTCGGTTCCACTAACTAGGTGAACGCATTTCGACAAGCAGCAATACAAGTGTTATCGAACGGCTCTTTTGCTAGGTGTGCAGCCTTGTTTTTTATTGTTAGCTCAAGCTGATCGTTTTTTATCCTTCGAGTCCTAAGAGTTTTTAGCCAGTTCTACTGGCCATTTGATGATTCTTATAAGGTTGTCGCTTATTTGTGGTTCGGCTTATTGTTTCATGTCGATTTGAACTGTTGAGTGGAGTAAATGTTCCATTTTTCATTAATGACTTTTTTGCACGTTTTCACCGTTCGGCGACAGCAAGTGCAAGCAAGGAAGTGCATTTAGTAGTCGGATTCGTTTGCAGCAATCGCTTGCACTTCACCTCGAACGTTAGTGAAATACTGGCAATTCTCAGATTTCTGGCTGCGCTATTCTTTGATTTTATACTATTTTTGCAACAATGAAGCAAAAAAATTTATATTTGACAAGAAAAATAGCAAAGAGTTCGTTGTAAATTGCAATATATAACGAATCACTCAACTGATTTGATCGATTTTGCTTGACAAATTGGCTCGTCTTCTCTGCTTGAATTGACACGACTGATTTGGTCGATCTTGCTTGACAAATTGGCTCGTCTTCTCTGCTCGAGTTGACACGACTGATTTGGTCGATCTTGCTTGACAAATTGGCTCGTCTTCTCTGCTCGAATTGACACTACTAATTTGATTGATTTGACTTGATTTTAGAAATTTATTTAAAAAAGGGAAACCATTTAAATTCGCAAAACTTCAGCGTAAATATTTACGAGCTTTCCACAAAAATCTATCTCTGTGGGAAAAAAGCTCCAAAGTCAGCCAAAGTTTTTCAAAATTTTCTCTCACCATTTCACCGTGTCACCGTCAAATAATGTGCTCAACTTCATTTCTTTATTTTCTTCTCAAAATTTTTCTATTTTATAGAAACCAAGGTAACTCGTGGAACCTACAAAATTCTATTCGATCCCAAGGTCATTTCTCTTGGCCAAGTTTGCGCCGCTAAATCAAAATTTATTCGCGAAAATAAAATTTTAATCCAAAGTTTTTTGTTATTAATTTGTCTAATCTAAATCAATTCATTGCAATTTTTGATCAAAAACTTTTTTTTAGTCGAAAATTTTGTATTTTCATTCATTTTTCTCTTTAAATTTTTTTTTTCAAAAAAATTTATTTATAGATATTTTTCTATTTATTTATAGATATTATTCAGGAAAAATTGATTCCATAATTTTCTTAATTTCTCACCAAAGTGATCGCCACTTTGCATCGTTTGGCCACTTTATCTGCTAGGAAATCTTTCCAGGCGTTTAGCGATAGAGATAAGTGGGCAGCGGGTTTTTGCAAGTTTCTGGCGAGGGAAGGCGCTCTGAAATGAGAGCAGCACCCTACTCAGCCATTCCATTGCTTTATTAATTATTACTTATGGTTTAACGAAAAATTGAATTCAGAGAAATAAATGAAATTACGAGCAAAACGGATCGAGAAATCTTGGATGATATTCTTAGGAATTATCGATTTCCTGGTTTATTTGCTTTTATTTTTATTATTTTTATTATCCGAATGAATTTGAAGAAATTTAGGAGAAGGATTTTTAAAAGATTAATTTTAATAAAAAATAAAAGATGTAAAATAAATATCAAAAAAAATAAAATTCTGGAATATTAGGTAGATTTTAACGAATAGTTTTAAGTGGAATTACTGCGAAGATTTCGCTTAAATAAATTGGAATTCCATTAATTCATCGAATCTTCTTGACTGTTTTCATCGTTTATTACGATGGCCCATTTTCTCCAGCAGTTCACTGGGAATGGAATCGTCCTTGGGTCCATAGGATCACCCGGACTTCACTTTTAATCCTATCAAAGCGCAGCAATCGAACCGATGATAACTGATTTCAGTTAGAGTCATCATACGTTGCCTTATTTAATTAATACATTATTAATATATTATTGTTTATTAAATAAATTTAAGGCCCAGTTTTATTATCACTTTATAAAATAAAAATAAAATAAATATTTGGACAGTGCAAAGGAAATAAGAAAGGACCAATTTAGGTTGATTAAACTAATTATGCATTATTTGTTTAAAATAAATTTTTGAATTATTTTATTTTTGTTAATAAATGCCTTAGATCTTTTCCAATATAACGAAAATATAATAAAATATAACGAAATATTTCAATAAGAACCCATAATGAATCGATCCAAACTAAAAAAATTGGAATTATCAGAATTATCAAATTATCAAAATTACCAAAGAAATTTATTTAGTCTTTAGAACAATTCTTTTTGCTTAATAAATAGTCTAAAAATATTCTATTTTCAGATTCATCTCAAATGATATCGGTTGCTGTTCATATAATTATTGATAAGTTATTAATGGATTATCAGAACGAAGTTTTTCTTTTTTTCTGCTTTATTTTTATGATGGTTTTTAGGAAAAACGATATATGTAAATAAAAGAAAATATTTTATGTTCAATATTTTACTGGTAAAATTAATGATATTTTTAGTGCAAAATGCGTATATATTTGCAACAAAAATGGATTGATCCATTATTATCATTTAAATATGAAAAAGATTTTAATAAATTTCTAAGGATTCGATCAAGTTTGTTTTCTTTTTGCAAATCAAAAATTACTAATAATATAAATTTTATACATTAATTGTTTAAAATAAATTTTTTGCCGTTTATTTAAAAAATATTAAAAATTATTGGTTTAGCGAGTTGATCCACACTTTGTCCACATAATTATCACATATTTGCCTTGCAGGCTTATCTAATTGCTTTAGAATTTAAGGTCGCCAAACTTATCTCTTCGCATATTTTGATGCACGTTCAGTAGTATAAACCATAGCGATTTCTTATAAATTCTTATATTTATTAGTAATAAAAAAGTTTTTAGTTAATTATATTTGGAATCCATCGATAATTATAACTAATTCATTGGAAACCGTGCAGAATGGTCGCGATGAAATTAAAGTTTATAGTAGTGGATTAGTCGAATTCACTCAAATGTTTTTTTTTCTGCACTAATTTTTATACGAATTTTATCTTACAATTTTGAATTTATCTTAAAATGATAAATTTAAAAGAAAATCTTTAACAATTTCATTAGTAGATAATTCATGAAATAGTTTATTTAGCAGCGTAATTTTCGTTATTATTTTATTTACTATTATTATTATTTTATTGTAACTATTAATCATTATTATTTATTAATTGCTAATTAATAATAATAGTGTTAATGTAAAAAAAAAAATTATCCGGGTGATGCTGGTGACTCACCTGTATTTCTATCGCCAAAGGACTCCCTGGCGTATTGCTTAATGTGACAAGCCAGTGGAGCGAGTTTAATCAGTAATGGCGAGAACTCTTTTAAAAAAAACATTATTAATTACTAATTAATAATAATAAATATTATTGTTAAAATGACTTTTTAGATTAACGTTAACAACAATGGAAAATCACGATATTTCAACACTTCCGTTCGATACAAGGAACTGCACAATTATTTTCAGTAACGGTACATTTATATTTTATTTTTCTTCTTGCTATTTCAAATAAATTTATATATATATATATATAAATTTATATAAAAAAGTATATAAATTTAACTTTTTTCTGAGATCATTTACCATTTTTATTTAGGTTCATTCCACTGGCCTATCAAACTAGATTACAAATTTTGCCACAGGGAATTGCTTGAAAGTAGTCATATGCAACCGGAAGAAGATTAAATTAGATTCGAAATTTAGATTTTTTAAATCCCTTTCCAAAGCTGCTGGAAGTTTATTCATATGCTGGAAGTTTATTCATAAGTTGTTCATTTATATATTAAAATAAATAAAATTTAGATGATTCTAGAGCGCAGTGGAGTCGTATAACTTCAATAATGGGACCGAAATCAGGTTGGGGTATGTGGACTTTGACTGACTGGTACCGTGATTATAAAATGATACAAATCAATCTTAAAAGGTTTTTTTTTATTTCTGGTATTTTCGAACAAATTTTTGCAATAAAAATTTGCTTTTTAAGTAAATTGATGAATGAAAAGTATTCTCTTCGATCGATTTAATATATATTTTTAATTCATTTATAATTTATAAAAGAAAGAATTGCTTTATGTGGAACTATATTTATACAAGCCCTTATTAGGTCTTTGATTTCGTGGTTGTGCACTTATTACATTCCATCCATACTATTATTAATATGTTCGTGGATGGCATCGTGGATGAATACACAGGCATATTACTCACGAATGATTTTATCTTTATCAGTGTTTATTGCTACTATAATTGTCATTTTATATAATAATTATGGTATACAACGAACAGCGTATATTAAAGCAATTGATGTGTGGAATTTCATTATTGCAACATACGCTCTAATAGCTCTTTTACAGTCGGCTTTGGTTACTAGTTCCACGATGAAACAGTTTGTGCCGAGGAGAACGGTTTGTAAATTCCAAAAATGTTGTACATATAAATATTCATTGGTACTGATTTTTATATCCATCGGTACGGGCAAATATTTTAGGCACTGCATGTTATTATTTTTCTAGCCTATCAGTTGATCGATCGTTTTAAATTTGATTCATATATTCGGCTTATCACTTACTTGAACGAATAAAAAACAAAAATATTTTTTTCATTGCAGACGAGTTATATGGATGAAAGCGACGAAAAAATTCGTTGGTTAAGCGAAACTCCGTATTACGCCCAATTACCTGAAGTAAAACCTAAAACTTTTGCAAAAATATTTGACTGTATATTTCGAGTATTCTTCCCGACCACGTTTCTGCTTATTTCTATGTCTTATTTTTTTTATTACCTTGTGCCTTACATTTTTTAATAAACGAAAATAATATTAAAGATAGATATTGAAAAATGAAAAATAAAAATGAATGGAATTGTTGACGATTAACAAACTTGTTTGTTCTCGAGGTGCCGCAGATAACGTGCATATATCTGAAAACAGTCAACATTACCTGGGTAAAATTTACTAGCCAAGGGCAAATATCGTTGTAAATCTCTAAAATTTAGCAAAAAGCATTTTAAAAAATTTGAAATAGTTTTTAAATTGAAAAACTGAAGAGCTGCAAAAAAAATATTTAGGAAGTTTCAGTCGGAAAATGATAAAACAATCATTTCATCATAATCACTGATAAAGATTGCCTTCTAAAAATTCGCATGGTTGGACTGGTTCCCTGATTATATGAGGATTTTCAAACCCTTCGATCCGTTGCCGTTTACTTTAGAGTAAGCCACTTCCTCTTCCACTTGAGCTTCTATCGACTTGACGTTTCACAAAATGTAAGAATTTCTTAGCCATATAGAAACAGGACTGCGTCTTTCTGTTCTCCCTATTCCGCGAGAACTACTCCTCTCTCTACCACTTCAGCCGCTTCAAACCCAGTTGTGACATCCTGGGTGCATGGCACTTTTTTTGTGTGATTGCAAATAACACTATTGCGAATGGAAAAGTATGGCAAAGACTGGCGATGGGAATTATTGAGGAATTCGGTGGATACGAAGGTAATATAGTTCAAAGGCTGAAAGCCATTTCGTGAAAATATAATGAGGTCTGAGGAGATACCGGGCGGCGTAGGAAGGTTTGAAGGTTCCAACTTTGCTGATCTGCATAGAGAATGAGAGTACTATAATGCCGAATGCCATGTCAATTTATTGCATGCGGCATATTGAGAGGCGACCATCAATTAACTGACTGCGGCCGCGTATTAGTCAAAGCGCTATTTTATTTAATCGGCAGATTGGTGCAAAGCAATATTCGCCGAGGATTTGGTTGGATTTAGGTAGGGTTTAGAGGTGAGTTGGTGGTGTTTAGTTTTCCGCAGGAAAATCATGGATTGTCCTGGACTATCAGATCTTTAATCAATAAATTTTTCGACTTTCCTGAAGAAAATGTCCTTGAAATAATTTTATCAAAATTCGCTGTCATTAATATTAATATTTCCAAAGTTTAGTTATATTTCTCGTTTATTAGAACACTCAGCTTCTCGCTTAAGACTGTCGGGCTGGACGGATTTTCCTGAGGATTCATTTGACGGACGGCTAACGTCATCCCGGAAAGATAGGTTTTCTTCCCGCCGAAAGCCCCTGAACCCCTGCGTCCTAAATCAGAACGACAATCCACTGAACCATTCTAATGCCATAATTACAAAAATTATTGTTTATTCTTAATTTTAGTTCTAAACGAACGAATTGAAGTTTAGTGGAAGCAATAAGAGCCAAAATTTTTTCTCAGTCGAAAAGCACTATTCCATTGGCGTTTAGGAGTCTAAGTTCCCCAATCTGTCGCCATATGCCAGTTTAATTGAAGTAATTGCATATAGGTCGAGGTTGTCGAAGAATTTCAAGTGAGCGCGCGAATATTGTCGGAATGCATTTTCAGCTATAAGTAATAAAAAGTAACTTAAAAAGCTGGTTTTAACAATTTCGGAACTGGTTCTCTCTTTTTTGACACTCTTTTCATTCATTTCCAAAATGTTTCTAAATGAAGTTATTTTTGCAAATTCTGAAGAAGTAAAAAAAGTAATTAATGATTAGTATGCTTCATTCGCTTCAGTAATGCGGCCAAAAATCTTTCTAGAGAAAATTTCTGGATAGATCACTTCAAATTTTCATGTAAATCCATCTCCCAGCTTTCACCGTTATTGGCTAGGCTCGCATTCTGAGCGGTTACGTCAACAACTGGCTGCCTTGTCCTGCATCAGTCGATAAATGTAAAATCCTTCATCAACTCTGTCTTTGCACATTTTTAGGAATCTGTCTGAATGGTGGATTTTCTTGATATCACAGATTGTTTTTTATGTTTTTCGTGGATTGGATATTTTTCAGATTAATCAACTAAGCCAACCAAATAAATATTTAGAAAAGGACCGACTTGAAAAAAATTCTAAAATTTATGTGATAATTAATAAAATAATTTTTAGATTTGAAATTAAGATCAATGCGCGATGTCTTCAACATTTCTTGCGGTTCCTCTTAAAGCAACCAATGAAGTTGATTTGGTTAAACCATTGGCGCATTACATTGAGACGATGTGCGAAATATCAGATGATATAAAAGCGGAAATGAAAGAAGCCGTCCAAGAACTGAATAAATTACGTAACAAAGCATGCATACAACCATTGGATAAACATCAAAGTGCACTGGATGTGGTGACGAGGTGCGACGCCAATTTTATTAAAAAAGGCGGAATGAAAACTGCTATATATTTCTTTTTTCTTTATGATTTTATTTGATGTTGAATTATTTGAAGTTAAGTAAATCGACTGAATAATATACATATTTCATTCTAAATGAAACCTTAACGGCTGCTGAAAACCGCACCTTTTTCTGTTTCTTACACCATGACAAACGGATTGCGATCTACTAATCAGTGGAGTCAGTGGAAGCAAATATGTTGGCGTCGCATGTTATTAAAGGAAGGAAATCGAGATGCTTACGCCCAGTTTCTTGATTTCTCGAACTGCAAATTTCCACTTTGTGATATTTGAGAGATTACTATAGTCATTCTAGTAAAAAAAATAAAAGTGAAAGCTCTTGCAGAAATTAATGATAATGAAACTCATTCAGATATTATGATCAACTAGTTGCTATCGAAAGTAAACTTCCAATAACAGCAACACAAAATCCGATATCTTTCAAATGGAAAGATGCTTTCGACAAAGGTTTATTATTCTTTGGAAGGGCATCATTAAGTAAGTTTTTTTGATTCTTTATATATTTAAATGGTTTGGATTAAATGAAATATTTGAAAATTTTTTATAATGAAGTTAACTATAGCACTGAACGAAAGCTCTTTTGAACGTGCTGCTGTATTATTCAATTGTGGTGCTTTAATGTCAGCAATTGCTGCTAATCAAGGACTAAATACTGATGAAGAGCTAAAAACTTCGGCTAAGCATTTTCAGCAATCTGCTGGTGTGTTTCTAGCTTTAAAAGACACTGTTCTGGGCTTAGTTCACCAGGTAAGGATCGATTTTTCCACTGACATCCGTAATAGTCATATTTCAGTTGAAGAAGATGTAATTTTAGGATCCAACGCATGATCTTTTACCTGACACATTGGCATTGTTATCAACGATTATGTTGGCACAAGCGCAAGAATCTGTATATATTAAGGCTGATAAAGGTATTTTAAATGCTTTCATTTTATCATTTTTTTCTGCTTTCAGCCAATTTTTATCTTTATTTATCTTTAATTTTTACTTGTGCAATTTATCTTTTATTTTTTTATTTTTCTTTCATTTTGTTTCTGATGTCATAGAGCAATTAACATTCAGTTTCATTCCATGAATTTATTACAATTTTTCCACACTTTTTTTTGCAATGTTTTCTCATATTTGCAGTGATTTATTTTTTATCATTAAAGATAAGATGAAAGCAGCTGCTTTAGCCAAAATAGCTGTTGGTTGCTCGGATTTTTATCAAGATGCTCAAAAGCAACTACATCGCGATTCTGTAAAAGGTTTATTTGAAAAGGTTAATCATATATTGCTAAATTTTCTCAAGCAAATTTATTTTTATTTATTCAATTAATTTATTTATTTTTATGAAATTTAAAACAGTTTTCTCACCTAATTATTGTATTGCTTATTTTAAATTTTAAAATTTAATTTAAAATTTAACTTTTTTTCATTCAGAAACCTTGCACAGTTTTTTTCTTCAGAGATTTTGATAAATTTTTTAAAGCAAAATTTTCGGCATTGTAGGAATGGACGAATATGATTACTGGCAAATATTTTGCATTCAAAGCTTTTGCTCAGTATAATGAAGGAACTGTTTGTTTAAATGCGTCAGATATTGGTGCTGATTTATTTCTAATGCTTTTTTATTCCAAAGATTTAAAAATTTATTTGTGCAATTTATTTGACCTTTTACAAAAAAATCCAAATGTGATGATTTATATGATACATTTTCTATATTCGGTAATCCCAATTTTTCTTTTAATTATTTATTTTTTTAATAGGCTTTTATTCTTTGAGGTGACGCTTTATGTAGATTAAATGAAGCGATGAATTTGGCTAATCAAGCTGCCAGTTATTTGCCATCTTCTTTATATTCATCACAGTTCGCTACAATTACAAAAGCTTATCAAATTGCTAAAAAAGATAATGATTTCATTGTAAGTGTACCGGAAATATCAATTTCATTTCATTATGAATGGTGTTGAAATCTGTCATTTTTTTTCTCATGTTTTCTCATGTAGTGTTTTTTATTGCATAATGTTTATAGTACCACGCTCGTATTTCGGATATTCAAAGTTTACCTGCTGTTCCAAAGGCGGTGCTTGTTAAACCTTTGCCTGTCAAGTATCCTATGACTTCTCACTTTAAAGGTTCATCATTGTTACTCCATTTTGTCTTTTTTCTCATAATTTTCTTAAATTAAAAATTCTTTTATACTTTTCGATTAAGTATCATTTTTATTTTTAATATTCGTTGGTTTTAGAATTAGATTTTTTTATCTAAATATTAATTGTTACTGGTTTCGATTCTCTTTAACTGCAGATATGTTTTCTTCATTGGTTCCGATTCAAGTTCATCAGGCTTTAGCTTCCTATGATGCTCGTAAGGCAGAAATAATCAATTTAGAAACAAGTCGCTTACGTGAACATACACAGATCATGAATGGGTTATTATATAATTTTAAATTATTGTCCAAATTGTCCAAAAAAAATAATTATTTCAGAACGATTTAGAAATTGAAATATGCGCTGATAAAAGATTTTTTTCCAGAATTCTTGCCTCTCTTAATTTACCCGCTGCATTGGATGATGCTGTTAGTCATGAAGATCTTCCCGAATCAATTCGGCAAAAGTCAACTAAAGTAAAAATTGCCGGAGGTATCGATTTACTCACAAGTTTAGTCGCTGATCTCCCAAATCTGCATAAAAGGAATCAAGAATTGCTCGATGAGGTTTTTAATTTTCGAAGCTTATCGTTAAGAAGTATTCTTAGAATGCTAAATTTTTTTCGAACGCGTTAATATCGAGTTTGGCTAAATTGTTTACCATTGATTAAAAATGGAGTTCTTTTTATAGGTTTTTCGCCTTATCAATTTGATCTATGAAATAAACTTTTAAAAATTTATTATATGCAAAGATAAATTAGTATCTAAAAAAAGATAGGTCAAAATTTGTGAAATTGTGGCCTATTTTATGTCATAAATTCTGGTGCGTCTCATTATTTTTCTTTAATTCGCTTTGCCGCACGAATCACTTAGTATTTCCTTAAACTTCATTTTGTTCCTTTAGTTTCTAGATTCCATTATATTTCCTTAAAATTTTCCTTACATTTCCTTTATATTTTTATTAAATTTTTAATTTTTAGTACATTTTTACCACTAACTCAAGTCCTATTGTATTAACACCTTTAAAGCGGTTTCTCAAAAGCTCTTACCTTAATACCTCTAATCTTTTTAACACAATTGCAAGGCATGAAGTACTAGTTCAAGTCCTATTTATTATATATTATAGTTATTGTATTCATTATTTATTAGCCTTCTGTTTTCTTTTTTTCAAATGGACTATCATAAAATGGATTAAATCATATATTTTTATAAAAATTATTTCTTTTTTTGATAGCTTTCATCATTGCTGGTTTTTTAATCTAGTGCTATTCTTTCCTTACATTTAGAATAAGAATTTGGCTGAAAATGACTGAAGCCAATCTTTTTTCCTGCTCTATCTGAGATTGTATATCGCTGGGTCCGATTTCTTCATTCGAGACCAGCATTCGTTCCAAAGATGCCACTGATATTGGAATTTGTGCAATATCTCAATATCTCAATAGCTTCAATATCTTGAAATGTCCATTAATTTTTTAATTTGGGATGATTTTGAAAGGAGGGGAATGCGTGAGAGAGGAGCAGTCAGTTCTCTTTGAATTTGGTTTATTTTTTGGTTCAGTAGAAGATGTCCAAGTTCCAACATCCCACTTGACGATTACCAGCGTTGATGTATATCTTACGTTCGAATTCCACTTTCCCTGGGCTATAATTGTTGCTTTTGAAGGAGAATGTGTTTGGCTGCCTCATTTCAGAAAACTTGCACGGGTTCTCTTTCATATTACCATTATCAGGCTCGGCTTCATTTGATTCGATAGAATTCTTAGAGATAAAGACATGAGTTTCCCATAATCATTCCGATTTGATTTTAATGATAGATTTATTTCTATTAAGGCAAGCAAGGAACTAGCCTTCCAATTATATTAGTGAAATTATAATAAAATTATAACGAAATTATAATAAAATTACATGGAATTTAATTCTAAATTACTGTTTAAAATTACTATTACTGTTTTTTTTAAAAGGGTTTAAACTATTAAACCTAAACGGTAAAGCAGAGCGATGATAGAAACACTCGCAATCAAGACACTCGAAATGACTATATTAGTCCACTTCTCATATTTTTCGATTTTCAGACTGTTCGACTTTTAAAAGAAGAAAAAGAGGGTGATGACCATTTGCGTAAGCAATTTAAAGAAAAATGGACTCGCATGAGCTCAGAAAAATTAACGGAACCTTTGCACCAGGAATGCGGAAAATATCGTGCCATACTTCATTCAGCCTCGAATGCTGATGAAGTTGTTAGGCAAAAAATGGAGGAAGCTCGCGAAGCTATGCGCATTCTTAGTCTACCTGAGCCTGAACTTAAGTATTATTCTCTTGCATGTTTTAAGGAACAGTTTTTAATCTTTAAGGAAACTTCAAGGTAAATGCCTTACTGCTATAACTTATTCATATTTGTTGCAGGTCATCTATTCCTGGATTAGATCCAACTACTTCCAATAAAGATTCGCCAACAGTAGTAAAATTACGCGAATTGATGGAAAAGGTTCAGGAAATAAAGGTGCTTACTTTAAATAAATTTATTGCATTTTTTATTTTCATTAATTTTTTTTTTATTAGTTTTCTTACCAATTTTCTTACTATTTTTCACTTTTTAAATTTAGGTGGAACGTGAACAGTTAGAAAAAGAGTTTTCCAGTGTTCGTACGGATATGAGTAATGAATTTTTAAAAGCACTAACCGACAACCAAATTATAAATGAAGAGCAAATTTCAAAACAAAAACTCAATGAAATTTATTCTCCATTGAAAAAAAAGGTTGAGGAAAGTATTAGCAAGCAAGAAAATTGTCTTGCGGAAGTTACGGTGATTTTTGCTATCTTTCTTATATGGAAGAAGATCTTATATTGAGTTCAATAAAATATTGTAGCGACTAGTTTGATAAAATAATTGGATTTAATTGGATTTATTCGGATTTATTTTCAGCGATGGAATAAAGAATTCTCATCTGAAAAGGCTGGCAGTGTAAAAGCTGCAGAAAGAGAAAAAATTTTAAAATTATTGGCGAATGGTCATGATAAATACTTAGAAATTAAATCTAATTTGGAAGAAGGCACCAAAGTTGGCTAAATTTATTGAATTTATTAAACGTATTCAATAAATATTATAATTTTATTAATTAAATATTTGGATTGAATTCAGTGTTCTTTTTTATTTTGATTTCAGTGTAGCATGCAAAATAGAAATCAAGAATTCTAATTATTTCATTCATTTTTTCAGTTTTATAACGATTTAACTCCTCTACTTATTCGTTTACAACAGAAAGTTTCTGATTTTTGTTTCGCACGACAGACAGAAAAGGAAGATCTCATGAAGCAGTTGCAACAGAATATTGTTTCTGGTAAGTCTAATAATTTTAATTATTTAATAATTAATTTATCAATAATTTTATCGCTAATGAAATTCAAAAATTGGAGTTTTGATTTTTTTGAGGAATGCTTTATTAAACAAGTTTTACTTCGAATTTAAAAATTCGAAATAGTTATTTAAAATAATTTAGTCTTGATTTAAGGATCAACAAATTCTACGGCTCCACCGCGGCCTCCGCCACCTAAATCACAGCAAACTGCAACAAATCCTTTTGACGTTGAGGCTCCAATTCCATCTCCTCGGAATATCTCCAACCTTCAAGGTGTAACTTTCATGTATTTTTAAATTTGTTTGCAAATCTTGAAATTGCTGAAAATTGATTTTCTTTCGTTCTTTTTTATTACTTTTGGTATTCTTTTAATATAATTTAGTGGCGAATTCGGTCAGAAAATTGTTTAAGACTTATTTTAGCTACTAATGATATGGCTCAGTTGAATCTAAATTCTAATGCGCCTTGTGCCCCACCTGGCACTTCAACTTCATCGCAATCTCCATTTATTTCATACGGTATTCGTGATATTTTACTTTTATTTTTCTTTAGAAGTTTTCATTTCAAACATTGGAATATTAGTAAGGAGATATGCAAATTGATTATATATCGTGACACCTCGGGTACGATCCTCGTATCCTCGTAAATTTTATTTCATTTTCTGAGTTCTAAATATTTTGTGACTGTGCATAAGCCTCAGGATAATCTTTGGCAGATATTCTCATATCTTTCCGATAATCTTCTTGAATTTGATTTTTTTGATTTTTATTCAGAATTATTAAGTTCGAAATCCTTCTCAAATCTAATATGAATCGCAACTATTTTGCGTTTTAGCTTGCGAAAAATTAATTTAAGCGATCGACTGGGTCCACCTGATTTTTAGTGCATTGTTGTCGTTTATTTGTCATTTGCACGACTGAGTTCCAGAAAATCTTGAAGATTTCGAAGTTTTGACTTCGAACATCTGATTCTTTTCATATTTTTGAACGATTAGCCATTATTATTTTATTTTATCATTGTTGCTATTATTTATTTATTATTATCTTATTATTATCTATTATTTATTATTATCTTATTTTATTATTTGTTATTATTATAATTATTATTTATCGATATCGTTGTCTTTATCATTGTTATTTATAACATCATTATCATATAATTATTATATTATTATTACCTTTATATTATTGTATTGCGATATTATTACATAATCAAATTGTCGAAGGAAATTACGTGATTATTAGTATGTCACGCTAATATAATAATATTTTTATGATCCTAATTATATTCATTGGGGAATAGAATGGCTCAGCGGGTTTTGCTCAATTGGGAGCGCCGATGCTGAGGTTCGATTCCCTGCAGGAGTAAACTTATACAGAAATCTGGGAGTGGCGTATTTCTATGGCCAAGGGTCTCCCTGGCGTATTATTTAATGTGACAAGTCAGTAGAGCGAGTTTAACCAGTAATGGTGAGGATTCTTAAAAAAAAATTATATTCATTAAATAAAAATTGTTTTAACCATTAGCTATAATAAAACTTTAGTGGCCCTTTCTTTTCCTTTCTTTTATTTCTATTTTAATTGGCCATTTTCTTTCCTTTTTAAAAATTTTCGAAGTTTATGCAAAGAGAAAAATTTTAATTAAGAAATATCTTTCAGCCCAACCACCAGTTTATTATCAACCTCAACCATATATGGCAGCTCCTCAATTCGGTCAAAATCTTACTACTCCTTATCCGATTGCTTATCCTGCTACATATCCCGGCTCTTTTAATATGGTCGCGCAAAGTGAATTTTATGGTTTTCAAATTGATTGATTTTTCTTTTTTTTGAAAGGGTTAATCAAAGACGAAAATCTTAGCAAAATTATGCGAAATTTGATTATTCTGACCCATTAAGTTTAAACTTTTTTTTTTTAACGCACTTATGGTATAGTCGAGGGTCACTTTTTTTACTTTTTTTAAAATTTTTTCGCGGGTTTTATAGCAGAAAAATAAATTAATAATATATGGGCACTTCCAAAGGATTTTAGGATAATTATTTTATTTCACAAAATTTTTTTGAAAATAAATTTTCCTATGTAACTGACTATCTGAATAATCATATCAGCAAAATTCTGTGAGAATCTGCATTTTGATAAAATGTTTCTATAATTCTATAATTCTTATTTCAGATTATGGTAATTTCCCTCCACAGCCGCAGTTTCATTGGCCAAACCAGCCTCCTGCGCACCATTAAATTTCCCACAAATAGATGATTAAACACAATGTTTCAATTATATTATTCATTATCAATATAATAATTAGAAGTGATTATGCTTTTATTGCAAACAGTTGTTTGAATTTAATGGTTCTTTGAAATATTTTGTGGGACATTTTATATAGTTTAAAATTGCTATTTTCATATTTTGCGTTTCGACATGCGTATTTATATGTTTTAATATTATATTCTAATATTCTACCATTGGCATTATTATTATATAAGATTTAAAATTTTATTCAATTTTTCATGAGCTTAGAGTTAGGGTTACAGCAAAGGTTCCTGGTATAGGATTCGCGGACGAGACTAGCTCCGTCTTGTGCTGTTTATAAGCGATTAGCTCTTACCTTTCTGCATTAGGCCTTCCTTATATGATCCTATTGATTCATATTTTTCTTATTACATTCTTATAACAACTATGGCTCCGCTGGCTATAAGGGTAAGACGTCTCTAAACTATTCGGTCGACTCTATTGCCGACAATAATAGAAGCGATTCCTTTTTCCATCGTTTAATTCCATATATCACTGGTCCATCTATGTCAGTCTATATTTTGATTGAACTACCCCGCTTTTGACGTCATCCATCACATATTAACAAGTAACGAAATACCTGTGGTGAGCGAAGAACGTGCTCTAACCATATGCTTATTCTTATTCTCCTCCCTGTATTGTACTGATAATTGCGTTGCAATTTTGCAGTTGTAACTGGGAAACGTTTTATGTTATTTCCGTCTGTATGGATTATTATATGGAGTTGTATGGGATTTGCTGTTCTTAGAAATTGTATTGTTGTGATGGGCTAGTGCTTCAGCGAAGGGGGGAATTAAGGGAATATTTGCTAAATTATTGGCTATTAGTGTATTTTGTGCATAGAAACATTACTTGGTACAATTAAATGTTATTTGTTTTGGGTTTTCGCGGCAGCCACTTTTCCTCGGCATAGATTATTCTCCTTTGCAAAATATGGCTCACTAGGAATATTCCGATAGAAAAGACTTTCGTTGCTAGCGATGTGAATTCTGCGTGGGCATTCGATTCGCTAAGTGGCTGACGCAATATTTTATTAACGCAATGTATGACCCTTATTTCAATTAATTAAATTAAAATTTGTTTCACCAATAATTTATGCTAAATATTAAAATTTCAGATATATTCTTATAATTTTAGTGGATCCTTTTTTAAAATATCGAAGAAAAGAAAAGGGAAAAAAGAGTGATCATTAAATTATTTCGCTATATGCTTAGCTGAATGATGAATGTAACGAATGTCATTTATCATACGAATGTCATTCATGAATCGACAGTTAAGGAATTAATTTTTCATGGCGCAAAACATAAAATGTTTCGAGATTAGCGAAAAAGTTTGCTGGGACTGACCGGAAGTGTCGTTAAGTCAGCAATATTAGACAAGATTTTTTGTAAATCGAAATCTTCGATTTTAGCGAGTTTTCAAGATTCTCAAATTATTGCAGAAGGAAGGAAGACTTTCCGCCGATGGTGAATTTGTTAAAAGAGTGTTGGGCTATTGTCGAAGAAATAAGTTCCGAAAAAAATTATAGGATAAGAAGAATAGAAGATTTGGGTTGTGAAGCTGAAGGCGAACTTGGAGGAAGAGTTCGTGACTTCAAGTACTTTCCTGTTGCTATTAATTGAAGGACAAAGGACGAAATTGAAGGACGAAAGATGAAAATATATTTTTAGAACTTATCAATAACCATCATTTTGCGCGTGGAATCTGTTATTTGCGGTAACAACAGATGGTGCGAAAAATTTAGGCGATTCAAAAATGATTCATGGAATATCTTCATCAATATCTTTAGCAGAAAGGAGTCGATGGATTCATCAGTTCCATTGTACCATGCACCAGCAATAAGTTTTTGGGTGCAAACGATAAGGCTGAATACGCCGATGCATTATATCGTATTTGAAGATGGTGCTTGAATCATAAATGTTTGTTAGATGGCTTTTTAAATTTCGGATTCAAAAAATCTGCAAGGGAATTATCCGATTCGAAGTGGTGCCATTTTTTTGAAAGATATATGCTTTGTCTTGTGGTACCAAATCATTTCAAACAAAATTGCCAGCTTATTCAGAAGAACTTTTCACACTTTGCCTGTAGCAATAATTTGCCGAAAACAATTCCTCTCTTGACGACCATATGAGAAAAAATTATTTTAATTTAAGATCCGTTTTCCAAAATTTGTTCAAGAATATTCCAGCTTTTCCAGAATCCTCGGAATGGATTCCCAAGTAGAAATGATCGATCTTCAGTTAAAATTCATTCAGAATTGAAAATTCAATTTTATTGGCCCTATCAACCGAATCTGGTTAACTTATCAATTTTTGATAGCGAATTTTCGCATATATTTGCGATTAGAAAATTTTTAATCAAAAGACAAATTATTATAATTCTTTTATCAAAAATTTTTTTATCACTTTGAACCTCTTGGTACAACACATGTGAGCAATGCATAAATTCCGTCTTTTAATTAGATTTGTATTCGAATAGAATTTCCAATAATAATTATTCTCCGGCTCATTTCAAAAATTCATATGTGGCCCGCTTCAAAAAAGTTGGTATAGTATTTGAAAAAATGCTAAAGCCAACCTAATAAACAACTAAAGGGATTTCGAATAAGTATGAATTTTATAGAGCTTCTTTCTTGACATTTTGGTGTATAATTCTGATCCTTTCCTTTAATTCTTTAAAAAAATTAATAAATGAAAAACTAAAAAAAAACAAAAGCATAGGCACAGTTCTCTTTTGCACGCTAAATTATCAAAATTATCAGTTGCACCCCGGTCTTTTAAAACCTCTCTGTTTTTCATCTGAAATTTATTATCTCATTTATCTTTTTTAACATTTTAGCATCATGCGAGAACGAAGATAAAAGGATAATAAGAAAATGAGATAGTAAATTTATAAGAAAATATAAAATAAAAAAGATATGTCTTCAAAAGGCCCAATTTTCTATTTCACATTAAAAAACAGAAAGCAATATGCATCAAAAAATAAAAAATAAAATTTAATAAATTATAGGATTTAAGAAATAAAAATAAAACATTATATCAATAATGGCGAAAATTGCATTTGATTCAACCTTAAAATCCATTTAAAATTAAAATTATGCGAATTATTTTTCTAATCCAATTGGCGGCGGAATAATATTTGTTGATGGCTGTTCAAACATTCTTTCAGTGAGATAACCAGCAACTCCCGAAGAAGCACCTTAAAAAAACTTTTAAAGAAGAAATCCTTAGAAAATGATCGAATCTATTTGATAATTTGCTAAGTGTCAATATGCATTAAATGATTATGCTTGGACTAAAATCAACTCCAAAATCGACTAAATTATGCCAAAATTCTTTCAAATCTTCATTAATTTACTTCATTTTCCCTCAATCTCAAACCTATTATTCCCCTTTAGAATACTCCCAATCTTCAAAGAACTCCTTATTAATCCGGTGACAACATCCGTTCAATATAGATTCTGACGTCTTACCTCTTTAATATTTTCTTCCTAGAATATCTCATCGAAATTGCTCATAGCCTCTTGTCTAATACTTCGAACCCCTTTGCTATGATAAATTGTTAATAAGACGATGAATTCTTTTATATGATCTTACTCTTAGACAATTAATAACTCGGTTACTCAAAATTCGTATAATACTCCGAAATCTCTTTGGTCCTCAAAGATTATGCCAGATACCACCTTACTTTTTCAAAAGCTTTTTAAAAGGTAGTAAAACTTTCTTAAAATTCTTTAGAACATGTTCATTCCGTTAAGCCATTAAATTGTGCTAACAATGCTCTCATAATCTACTATACTGTGATGCCGAAATCGGAAAATATTTCTTGGAAATTTTGTCCTTCGAATTGCCTTTGAAAAACTCCTTTCGAAATCCGGACCCGACATGTTGGAACTCTTCGTGAAAATTGTCATGAAAAATTTGCTCAAACCCTATCAAATCCTCTATGCTCAAAATTGCATAACTATTACTCCTTTCAACTCTCGAAATTATTTATAGGCTGTTGGCATTTTCATTCCACCACTTTCTAAAGGCTCTGTCAACCTGGCAGTTCACCACTGATACGGTCGCAACTATAAAATTACGAAAGATAGGATTACGATATATGGTGCATCGGAGGAGTATATCGGAGAACCTGAAGTTTTAAAGGAGAAATACAAGGAGTATTTAGAGATAAACCGGAAATAGCGAGTATTGAAAAGATGTCTACTAATATTCTTGATAAATAAAACTTGCTTTATCCTTTTCATGTTCCATCAACCCTCGCTGTATTTTTTTGCCATATTCTATTAGCATCATTAACCACTTTACATTTGCAAGTTCCTCAAATCTGATGCAAGCCCCCCATATCAGCAAAATTTTCTTAACCTTTCAATATACCTTTGAATAGCAACTTTGAACAACTTCCAAATTTCTCAACTGAATGAATATTGCAAATTATTGATGAATATTAATGAATAAAAAAGAAAAAGAACCATATCTAGTTGGCATAAATGTTCTGGAGAAATCTACTGATGAAGAGACTGCTACTGTCGATAGGCTTTTAGCTGAGAATATTGTAGCAGCCGCTAGGATCCAAACTGGCTACATTAAGGAAGTCCGAAGACATGGAAGAAAGGAGTCAGGCAAGCCACGAGTACTTAAGATTCGACTTGAAGATACATGGCTATGTTTGTATTGAGTAATAAGAAGGTGAGAAGGTGCTTGATTCTCCATGGAAGTTTTTTGAGGAAAGATCTAACGAAAAGAGAACTAATACTAGACAAACAGTTGCGTAAAGAATGTTATGTACGGAATCAGAATATGAATCTGAAGAAGTTACCTTGTCAGAAATCTTCAAATAGTGGAAATAAGGCAGCCTCGCCAATGGTTTACAACGACGAACAATTTTTTCGATTCCAATTTCCTCCCATCAATCTACTACAGCTTAGGATAACTTGCCAAGTAAGGTTAATAAAATACGAATTTATCTTTATATATATATATATATATATATTTAATGCAAGAAGTTTAAAATATAAACTTTATGACTTACAATTCCTACTAATTGATAACCCAAATAATGACCATTTTTTGTATTAATGAAACGTGACTGGATGACTCTACTGTGATAATTGGGAATTAAACTTCGATGGCTTTCTATTGTCACGCAAGAATAGAACAATAAATAGTTTAAATACTCGTGGAGGTGGGTTTATTACGCTTATTCCTGATTATTATAAATTTGTATCTTTTGATGATTTTGTCTATTCCTCTTTTGAATCTCTAATAACTAAAATTTATCTTAATAATAACCCACTTGGCTATTGTAGTATATTCACTAGGGATCTTTACAACCTGTTATTTAGATTAAAAATATTTGGTGCCGATTATGTAATTGTTGGCGATCTTAATATGCCAAATATAGATTGGGAAAATAGTTACCTGAAAAATAGCAGCAAATTTGAAGAGGACTTTCTAAACTTTTTCACTTATATAGGTCTAAAGCAAGATGTTAAGATTGCCACTAGGTATAACATTATATTAGATGTATTATTAGCTACTTCTATTTCTCTTGTTGATAACATTAAAGTCTTGGAACCTTTTTGTAATAGTGATCACAATATCATTCATGATTTATTCATTAAAATTAGACCGTTATATACTTCCCTCGAGATATTCTAGAAATTATCGTCACTGTGATTATAAAATCTTTAATTCTATTCTCGCAGAAGTAAACTGGGATTTCTTATTCTATTTAGCTCCCTCTATTGATGAAAAAGTTTACTTTCTTAATAGCATCATTTTAAACCTTATAGAGCAATATATCTTTTTAAGAAAAAAAAGCACTAAGTCGATTTTTAAAAAAAGGTTCAAGCAAGAAGCTTTATAACAAATATAAATTAACCAAATTGCCAAGTGACCTTTCTGCATATAAAGAATGTTTAAGAAGATTCCGTGGTACTGTTCATACTTTCAAATAAAGAGGAGCAAATTTTAAATATAAATAGAAATTCTTTCTGGACATATATCAAAAAAAAATTTTCAAATCCACATAAGCAATTAATTCTGCAACATGATAATGTGATCACATCTGATATTGATATTACATCCAGTAGTGTTATTACAAGTATATTTAATCAATATTTTTTCAATGTATTTGTTGATGAGGATAATACTCATACTTATTGTTTTACTGTATTGTATTCTAAATCGAATTTGTTGCACTACTCTCTTCTCTCGGCGAAGTTGAAATAACACTACTGGATGTTTATGATGCCTTAAATAGAGCTGTCCATTTCAGCTGGTCCCGATAATATTCCACAAATAATTTATAAAAAATGTGAGTCCTCCACTATTTTTATTTTTAATTTATTAAGATATTATAAAATCTGGCCTTAATCCTAAGATTTGGAAGTTGTCTCATATAATTCCCATTCATAAAAAAGGAAGCACCTATGACCCCTTCTAATTATAGACCTATTAGCCTAACATGCGTTGGTGGCAAGGTACTCGAAAGGTTGATTTGCAACAAATTGGTTATTTATCTTGATGCCAATAATTTTATATCCCTTTATCAGCATGGCTTTTGTACAAAAAAATCCACTTCACAAATATTGGCAAATCTTTCCGATTGGTCTGCATCAACTTTTGATGATTTTGTCTATTCCTCTTTTGAATCTCTAATAACTAAAATTTATCTTAATAATAAAGACATTTTCAATAGTGAAACAGTATCAGTTGTGTACCTAGATTTGGCTAAAGCTTTTGATACTGTTTCCCATAGCAAATTATTGATCACTCTTAATAGTTATGGCATTACAGGGGTCCTTTATAACTGGGTAACAGATTACATAAAAGACCGTCACCAAGCCGTACTCGTCAACACTCTCTCGCACAAAACCTGTTAAATCTGCTGTTCCCCAAGGTAGTTGTATTGCGCCATTACCTTTTCTATCATATATAAATGATATCACAAATGTGGTACTAAATTCTACTATTTATCTTTATGCTAATGATTGTAAAATTTATTATTCTCATGGTAGATCAGATAGCCTATCTCCACTGCAGGAGGACCTTAAAAGAATAGCCAGCTGGCTATTCTGACGGGCAAATTATCCTTTCCTTTCAAAAATGTTCTTCATATCAATTCTAAAGGTTTCGATTTTCCTAACCTTATTATTAATGGCAATATAATCAGCAGAGTCTCACACATTTCCGATCTTGGTATAATCGTGGATGAAAATCTCTATTTCGATGTTCACTGCAGAACCATAGTAAAGAAATCAAATCCTCAAAAATACTAAATTTTATTTTTCGTTCGTTAAAGAAAAAAACTGAAGATTTCCTTATCAAAATGTACAAAGCGTTCATTCGGCCACTTCTTGGCTACAATGCGATATGTTACTCCCTGAGATATCGTAAATCAAGTAATATAATATAAGGACTCCAAAAATATTTTATATGATGTTTCTCTCCTAATCGCAATTTTAATTATAACAGAAAACAAGAAAACTTTCACAATATAACATGGATTCTCTATCAGTCGTATTAAACAAGATTTAATTTAACTTATAAGATTTTATATGGTTATGTTAAATTAGATTGTTCAAAATATTATAATTTTAGGTTAAATTTAAATCCAACAAGAACTAATGGGCTAAAATTACTACAACCTATGTGTAAAACTAAACTAAGGACTCATGATTTCTTTATTCGTAATATTAATTTCTGGAATAAATTACCGAACGACATTGCTTATGCGCCATCCCTAGCTATCTTTAAAAAAAGGAATAGATAATATCATTTATGATATTATTTAAAAAGTTCAGATCATGCAGAAAATGCGAAATCCCGATTTTTACCATCCAATTATAGTTATTTCGAATTATACTATAATATTATTTTGTAATTTCCTCTTTCTTTCATCTTTAAATTGTTTAAACTGTTTATTATTTATTTTATTTTATTATTATTATTTTGTCATTGTTTTTGTCATTAATTCTTAATATTTGTTATTTTAACTGTTGTTATTAATTAACTTAATTAACTTAATAATAAATTTAACTTAATAAACTTGTTGTGAAATGTTATTATTAATACAAGCACATGGCGTTTGCGCCGTGCTTGGTTGGTTTTTAATAAAAAAATAAATATGCCATCAAATTCATCAAATTTCATTATTCTTTTATTCAAAAAACCTCAACATCTTTCAAATCCATAAAATCCATTATATTTCAAATCCATAAGATCTTTTTCGAACACCTCTCAACACTACTGGTTAAGCTGGCTCCGCTAGGTACAATGGTAAGACGTCTCCAAGTTGCTCGGTCTGACGCCAACGAAAGTAAAAATAAAAGCCATTTCTTTTTCCATAGTCTATATCCATATATAGGTGGTCCCCTAAACGTTCAAAACTTTTCATGACTTTATCAATACAATATCTTGATTGGCCCTCCTCGCTTTTGACGCCCATCATGGTGTTCTGCAAGTAGCGAAATATGCATCAAACTCCCATGGTGGACGATAGCGAAAATGCCCTAACCAGCGAAGGCGACGCTCTGTCATAACATTGTTTATGCAAGTGGTATTTGAACGAAGGTGGATGCGATTGTGATATTTTATCCAATCGACAGATTCGTAAAATGTACCTTAGACATGAGTGGTCAAAGGTTGATATCTTAATATCTTCCACACTTATTGGCCATGCTTTGCAGCCATATAGAAAGATTGAGCTAGATCGAACTGTCGTTATACGGACGCGGATTTTCGTTTTCATGGTGATTTCGTGACGGTTTCATTCGTCAACCGGAAGAATTTCTAACTGCCGTGATCCGGGTTGTTATATCGCCTTTTGTCTGACCATTCAGTATTAGAGTGGATCCAAGATATTTAAAATAAATCGAGCACTTTCTCGACAATTTATAAAAAGATTTATAGACTGAATTTACTGAAAAGATATTTTACCAGCTTCTAGTACATAAGACGAAAAGACTCGCTCTATTTACACTGACTCTGAGTCCAATTCTCACTTCAGTTATAAACACATTGTTTAGCAATATTTGCATTTAATTATAACTGTCAACAAAAAGAACCACATCATCAGCGTATTAAAGGTCTATTGCTCTGAACAGGTCTTAAGTGCCGGCAAGTGATGCCCATTATCCCGTATATCACATAGCTGAATGCTGTATGGGGAAAGGATGTCCTGACGGATACCAGTTCTTATTTCGAAGGATTCCGTCTATTCCCCAAGGTATGCTGATAAAATACTTTTATGAACCGAATGATCTTTTCTAGGACGCCGTTACATTATAATATTCTCCATAGCGCTATTCTATCAATCGAATCAAAGGAAGTATTTTATTTAAGGAGGAAGAACTACAAAATCGATAAAGTGATAGTGTGTTACTGATATTTAAAGGGATGTTCCAGCACCATTCTTAGCGTAAATATCTGGTAAGCTCAATCGCGTGCGGCTCTGAATCCAGCTTGGATAGGATTGGACAGGACCCGTTCTACTACCTCGAGTTGCCATGGGTCTATTTAGCAGAAGAGAAGCTAAAATTTTTCCGGAGATTCTAGTAGGCTGATTCCTCAGTGTAGGTCCTATCATCTTTCTTAGGAACTAGAAGCAAAATTGATTTGCTCCAGTCTTCTGGTATTATTTTCTTTTGCCATACCAGAGAATACATTTGTTGAAGGTGAGTTATGAACGATGATGGACAACATTTGAAAAGTTCGGCTCGAAGACAATCTTCTTCAGGAGTCTCATTGGCTTTAAGCTTATGGATTACAGAGAATATTTCTCCTTCTGTTGGCGGTTCACAGTTGCAAATGCAAGTCGACGGACGAATCAGTTATATCCGGGATAACAGATAGCAAATCATGGTTAAATTTGGCCTCAATTTTCATTTCTTTCCATTCTTTCTCAATTCATTGACCCTTTTTCGAGCTATAGCCTTGTGAAGAAGGTTGCGAAATAGTTTCCTATTATCACCTATCCGAGCCGTCCTCTCCATTCTCAAGGCCATATCGCTCTATTAGGGATTTCTGGCCCACCGTGCTGCTAAGACCTTCGTCTTTTACCATATATTTAATGGCAAAAACCGTTTAATTCCGTTGAAAACTAATGATATTCGTAACACTTATTACAAAATTTCGAATCGCAATATTAAAGCTCTTTATAGCATTTCCACACCTTGATATATTCTGTTGAAAACTTTCCTTAACCAAAAAATCTCTTGACACTCTTGAAACTCCCATATACCTTTAACCTCAAACCTACCTTGACACGATCGATCTATTTTGTTCCTCCTCTAAGAATCCAGGCAATTTTGTTATAGCGTAGTGAGAAACTATACAAAATAAAATCAAAGTGGAGAGAAAGCATCGAAGGAGTATAATGGAATTTGGATGTTTGAAAGAAGAGAGAAATGCAGAGACTTGACAGATTGATTGCATCAAGTTTTGAAGGAATGTTTTTCTTAGATCATTCGCTATTGCTGGTTACTGCTGCCCACTCCGCTGGCTTTTCGGACTAGACAAATATACCACAGAGCCAATTCGCGATAGAAATACAGGTGAGTAGAAAGGATTCACCAGTGGAAGGGATGTTAAAGAAAAATAGATTATGAAAAATATGCCAAGGTTTGAAAACATTTCTGTAGGGGAGTTTAAAAATAGTTCTTAAAAATAAAATTTATGAATCTAAAAAGAATCTATAAATTTTATGAATCTAAAAAGGATTAGGATTGATCTCGATAACAGTAAACTAACTTCCAATTGCTTGCACTTGAGGAGCTGGCAAAAATAAATCATGTCGCTGATCTTTATATTGTGACCAAATTGAAGATTTGTTTAAAGCAGCTTGTATTTCTTCACCAAATTGTAAATCCAAGCACAGTGCCTTGAGAGCGTCAACTATTTCAGCCTTTGCTGCTGCAGGATTAGTGACGCCTGTCAAATATAAATAGATATAGCCCCGATATCATTTAAAAAATTGAGACTACTATATCGTGTTTTCTAATCATCATACATATTTAGAAATCGGCTTTCCTTATTGTGACGTGGTCTAGTCACTTCCACATTCATTTATTCTTCAGGTGAATGCAATATTTTACCTGTCATTTTACCACGAAGCAAGTCGAGCAAATAATTGATTATTTCTGAAGATAGTATTTGGCCAGCTAATTCACCACAATTTCTTTTCGCCAAACATTTTAAAGCATGAGCACTCTCGAAAATCAGAGCTACAAATGACTGGAAATATAAGAAATGAAATAAGATAAGCGAAATAATAAAATGCAAAAAAAAATTAAGAAGGAATTTACAAATCATATTACTCGGCTGATATTTCATAGAATTCAATAACCCATCAATACAATTCAGTTTTGCGAATGAATCTGCGCAATACTAAAAAATAAAAATAATATTGGTTGCCATATTCACCTAGGAATATCAATAAATCAACTGAAAAGTTCTACTAAAAGAGTTGATTTATAATTAAAAAAGAAAGAAAACCTCATTTTCGGCTAGCAGAGAAAAAATGATAATTGCTGGATAAGAAGTCACTGCATTAGTGGATTTCATTACTGAACAAAACTGCGGCAAATAGCCTTGAGCTGGTAACTGAGAAAACTCGATAAATTTAAAGTCGAAAATAAGGAAAAGGCAGAATTCAACAAATACCACAAAATTTTCATACAGTTAGAAACTATATAAACTTCATATTACCTTTAAAATTTTTGAAAATAAGCAAACCTGATCTGCAACAATTGGATGGTTTCTGAGAAAGGCGATAAAAGCTGAAGTCACCAAATCCAAAGCAGAAGTAGGTTGCTTCAGTTGTTCGAGTACATGTTCCATTAATTCTGTTGCGAATTGCTTAGGATGACGCACTTGCCACGACGGATTGGCAATGAAAAGCCGAAGAAAAACACCGGCAACAACTATTTCTGCATTTCCAATATCACAAACATATGTATTATCAGCTTTCTGAAAAAATTAATCAAAAAAAAATTGAACATCTGAAAAAAATGGATCAATCACGAAATATGATATCTGAAAAAGAAAATCAAAATAAATGCAAATGCTCAATTATTTCAAGCAAAGTTAGATTAAAAAGAAAAAATCGAAAAAAATATAAAATTTCGTAAAAAAAATATCAAACAGCAAAAAATAAAATTCACCTCATCCCATTTTGTGGAATATTCAGGCTGTTGCACTGCGTAAAGTTTTTTGCAACTATTTAAAACTGCTGTTTTCAAAGTTTCACGAACAACATCGTTCCAAATTAATTCTGGATTTTCGTGATTTGAATCAAACATCGTTACTCTTCAAAAATGAAAATTAGATGCTTATTGCGAGAAAGGAAAGGGAGGTAGAAATGGCAATAAATAAACATACGCAGCACATGGAGAATCCCTCAAAGCATCCGCAAAAATAGGAGGCAAATATCTCGTTATAAAACGATTCCAGCGAGGACCAGATAATTTATCACATTGTAGTTTAGCCAACAGTTCAGCCGATGCAATGCGCGATTCCATTTCAAGTTGTGAATCGAAGAATATTATCAGAATATAAAGTAAATCGCCTAAAAATTACATTACATGTACTTCACAAACATGAATTAAAAATAATAGAAACAATAATAAATTCGCACCGAATTCTAACATTTGTTTAACTATTTTCCCATTTGAAGACAAAGCAATCGCAGTTTTGAGCACCATAGGTATTGCTAAAATAGATTTATGTGATATATGTGATATTAATATATCAAAAGAAAAAGTCAAGTCTATAATAAAAGGATCGTAATAAGAAAATTAAAGTAAAAGGAGAAGTAAGAGAAGGAAATACTTTTCGGGTTTTCAATAATTAGTCCAAACAAAATTGGTGATTGAGAAGACGTAGCGATATCCGACACACAATCGCGATTATTTGCAGACAAAGAAATTATCTCAAAAAATTCAGTTTCAAAATCCGAACATCATTTATTTTCGGACTATCCACATGCAGTAATAAAATAAAGCAGCTTGCATAATGACTAAGGTAAAACTTTTCTAATCTTGGGATTTTGAATTTACATCAAAAAATAAAAAGCTTGAAATTAGGAAATAAAAAAGTTCATTAAAAATAAGATTTAATTTTTTTTCGCTTTTTTTAACTCAAGAGAAATTAAAACAGTATTTTCTCAAAAAATTATTAATTAAATACTTGAAAAAGAAGTAAGAAATAAAAGGACAGAAGATACAACATTACATATACAATAAAATAAAATTAAAAATGCACCTTTAGAGCTTTTTCCTGTATTAAAGGCATATGCTTAATTTTTAAAAAATAAAATATGAGTTGAAAATAGCCGATAAGCGACATTTCCAGACCTGCAAAATAAAAATAAAAGAGCTTCATCCACAATAATCTCTGGGACAAACATGAAGAAAATAAGATCCATTGAATATTGTTCTATAAATTTTAAAAAGCTACCTATATTGAACATCAACAAATTTATAAGAGCCTTTAGAGCTTCATCCACAAGAGACATCACATCGGTCTTCGAATCAGATTTATTCGCAAAATCGACGGATGAATTAGTATTAATACTTTCATGATCTTCATTATTTATCAGTTTTTTAGAATTAACATCTAAGAATTGCAAAATATCGATGCAGAATTGTTTTGGTTCCTGGAAACCGATCAACGAAAGATCGATGCTAACAAATAAGCTTTACAAATAAAAATATCGAAATAAACCAAGAAAATTTAAAAAATATAATTTTTATCGACAAATTTTTAAAAAAAACTAACATAAAGTTTAAAATCAGGCTGCTCGTTGTAAATTTTAACAAATATATTACCAATAATCAATTCTTTCGCATAGACTGACATTTTAAATTCAGCACCAAATAATTCACTCTTAAAATATAAAATATTATTCCTGTAATAATTGAGTTTCTAGTTGCAATTCATTGTTTCTTTCGTAAGAAAAAAAGCTAAAGAAAATGACTACCAGATGCGGAAATTATTAACAGTTAACTTGATGAAAAAAAAGCTTATATACCACTTTTTCATTTGATGTGCGGTGTAATTCAACAAATTCGAGTACTTCAGACCGTGTCGCACCGTCCCACAATAAATAGGGATTTCTTGTGTTGCTGTTAAGTAATTTCAAAACCTGCAAATATAAATATAAAATATCATAAGTGGGAAGATAAAAAGGAAAATTTATACTAACAAAATCATTATCACAATGTTTCATCGAATGACAAATAAAAGGCGTAAGCATTGCTCGAAGGCTATTATGCACACCGTCATTTTCAGGTGTACTTTCACGGAAACCGGCTAAACACGCTAAAGCTTCGCAACATCTGCGGGCCAATTTATTACATAGAGATTGCAAATTATTTTCCTCGCTATGTTTCACTCCTAAATAAAAGAAAAACAGATAAGAAAATTGGCTAAAAACGAAGAAAAATGAAGTGAAAACAGTAAAAAGCGAGATAAGCCACCTCCTTCATCAAGAGTATAATCATATCGAAAAAGATGCGGTAGCAGTTGCCAAATAACACCAGCTTGAAAAAGTTGCATTTGAAGAAGCGTACATACAGAAAATGAACAAACGCAATCAGCTGCAGCACATGCGACTCGAATGCATTTCTAGAAAAATACATCGAATAGACATTCGCAAAATTACATGTTACATACAATGAAATAAAATAACTTACATTGAATTGCAATAATCGACAAATATTGCTGAAAACTGTTGGTAATTCAGAGATTTTTTCACGGCAAGATTCAAATCGTGCTGCAGTTTCAAAGCAATGCAAAATGTGGGCACAAACCTGAAGGGCACTGACTTTAATAGAATCAAAAAAGAATAGCAAAAAATTTTAATGTAAACAAATGGACAATACTGAAAAAAAAACCTTGGCAGGCATATCATTTTCTTCGGAACTAATATTGACCATAGGTGCACAACGATCCAAAGCATTGATTAATATCTAAAAAATGAAATCAAAATTTGTATTCCATAACCATAATGTAAAGTATTCTGAAAAGATAACCAAATATTAGTGTAAAATATAATATTTAATAAATAAAATATAATATTTAATTATTAGTTTCAGATTCTTCGAAAAAAAAAGGTGAAAGCTAATAATGATACCTCTAAACCACCATCACGCCTTAGTTGTTCCGAATTTAAAGCTGAGCTTATTAGTGTATATTTACATAATTCAACAGCAGCACAAAGTAGATTTCCACCACCACTTGCAAAAAGAAAATCATCTTTTGATTCCAGTTCAATTGTTCGAATTAGCTGGACATATCCCGCATATTTAAATGGAGATAATTCTTGAAAGCAGTTTTATCATTACGAATTCAATAATAAATTCTGAAGTAAATTTATCTTCTATTATGAACCATTTTCAATCCAAAATGCTTAAAGTACCTTTACAGTATCTCCTATATACAATTGATTGAGCTTGTATACAAAGAATAATTCTGTCGATATCAGGCAATGATCCTCGAAGTTTTACATTTGATGTCAAAAGTTCATAAGCACCATTTATTCGCTCAAAAATTTCACGACCTTGAGAATTTTTATCTGGATGATATTTTTGAGCCAATTTGAAATAAGCGCGTCGAATCGTTGATTTACTCTTCAATCTTTAATACTTTTGATAATTAAGGACAATGATATTGCATTTACTGCAATCGCAAATTACAAACAACAAATTTATAAATTTAATCAATTAATCGATTCAATTCAAGCATTTCTTGATTTATATTATATAATAATAAAATTTAATACAATTAAAAATAAATGGAAATGAAAATTCAATTTGAATGAATAACTCACGTTTCTTCATCGTAAACCAATTCTAAAATCTCGAATGCCTGTTCCAAGGACATTGAAGGAGGTTTTTTTTCGATTTCATCCAGCCAAGCCGCAAGACAAGATTGCAGAAATATCACCTAAATTATTCATCAAAAAAATAAAATTATATCAAAGCAAACTTTAGCAAAAATTCACAGAATTAAGGCACCTATTGAATATACATATACATATAATTTTGCCATATACACGAACATATATACACGAAATTTTGTGAAGATAAATTTCAATAAAATAATTTAAAAAAAGCTTTATAATAAGAATTAAGAGATAAATAAATCTATGCTAACCGGATCACGGATTGGCCAATCGGGAAACTTTTTCATATTACATAAATGTCGTAAATAATATACATGACAAAAAAGTTCACCATCGAGTTGAGCGTAATCAACAACAGGAATTGGACAGTACTGATATATCGCTTTTATATTTGATGTTAGCCGACTTGAAAAATCACAAACATGTAGAGCGATGCGTTCAATCAGATGAGTCCTAAAATACCCATATGCAATACAGAATGTTGTAAAGATATACGCATAGAATTCTTAGGGATCTCACTTTATATTTGCCTTGGCCACATTTAGAAATAGATAGTGAAAAAATGAACAGCTTGAAACAGACAATAGAAAACGTATAATAGACAAAAAAGCTTCGAAAAACTAAAGGGCGTTATTAATTCAGCAGAAAGGGGCTAATTTCCATGTCTGAAATTGAAACTGTTCTCATTTTATCAAACCCATGTTCTTTCATAACATTCTCACGCAATAAGTCTTTTTACTAGCTTTTATAATAATTTATATTTTGATGTTAACAAATGTCAAGGAATTCGTGAAAAGTGGATACATTTGGGTATATTATGCTAATGCATGCACACACATATATTTATAAAGGTATTTCTCATTCCACACCATTTCATAATTCTTAAAACTCGCACCAATTCCATTGCCCTCGAAACATCTTTAATTTGATAAGATACTTTTATTTAAAAGATTTCTATATGTTAATCTATCTCGCTCCATCTTCCTTTATCTGCTCCCTTATGATAGGCTAAATTTTTGTGTTGTAAAATTACTAGTATAATTAAACATACCTCATATCTGCATTCCAAATGATTTCTGGATTGTCGAATTCTGCAAGGAACATTTGTGCGTATTTTTCCGCACCATATTCTTCCAAATATAGTATTGCTGCCTCGGGTAATAATGGACTCAATACACTATGAGAAACAAATTCGGATTTCGCCTATTTTAGAAAATAAATTGCAAGGAATAATATGAATACGAATTTTATTACGAATTTTATGACAAAATACGCTTACAATTGCTAACTATATGCTAAACCCTGCGATAGAATCATAAGCGAGTAATTTCTAGGTTAATATAGTATTATATCACATATTTTGTATAAAAAAAAGTCATTTGTCACATCAACTGAAAATGCCATATTTCTCGCTTAAAAAAAATGTAAAACTAACAACAGTCGAACGAAATGCTTGCTTCATATGAGTATAATGAAGAAATCTCGCAATCGGCAACACATTGGAACCATTGTACATCAGAATAAAAAAGAAAACTCCGGACAAATAAAGCCTTGATAAAAAAGGATTATCCTGGAAAAAACGGCTAAAAATTTGATATATCATCGAAATTATCAGTAAATGAATATTAACGCAAAACCATGCAGGAAAAATAGACAATGCCTCACCTCCATTATATGCAAAAGAAGGGAAGCGATCCTCTGAACAATACCCGGATCATAAGTTAGCAAAAGTTGGACAATTTGATATAAAAGAGTTGGCTCACACAATATACGCTTGACCTGCGGCAAAGGACGAATAACGCAATTATTTTCGTCCCTGAAGCAATTTTTTATTGTTTGAAAACAAACAGATGATAACGACAAAAATTTCATTTCGAAAAAAAATTATAATTGGTAAAAACTGTTTCATAACTAACCTCGAAGGATAATACATACACATTTGTATCAATATGTCTAAAATACCAATACATAATTCAGTGAAATTATATAAGATATCAGTATTTGCTTGAGAACAAACAGTCCAACGAAACTGAGGAACACTCGATAAAGAAGTCCAATGATCAAGGCCTTGTGCCCATATTTGTGTTCGTTCGAATACTGTTTTATCACCATAAAATTTTTTCATCTGTAATATAATTCAATTAAGTAAATCAATAAAAGCAAAAATATGATATGCGCCTAAAAATAAAACAAATATTTTGACATTTAAAAATTAATATTTTTGATATTTTTTGATATTTTAAATTGATTCACATATGCAATATAGAAATATCAAAATATTAAAATTATTAAGTTTTATAAATATATATCCAACTTCTCCGAAAGAGAAAGGGCCATGTCGACTTCCAGCTTTATCCGCGTAATACCATTCTAAAGATTCATGATCCTTATTGCTGGAGTCGCCTTCAATTAAATTATTTTGCATCTAAAGAAACTTCGAATCACTGTCGCATCGAAGAATTAAAATTGCAAAACCACTGACAGTAGTGCACCGCTTTTGATAAATGAACAATAACAAAAGCTAGAAGAAGAATCACTGATGAAATATGGAATCAAAAAGTAATAAAAAATAATTTCGAAATTACCTTATTAGGCACAGTGGCACGATTAATGCACAAATGAGATAAAACGGCAAAATCTACAAGTATTGGTAGAATACCTGCAGATAATAAATCGCGAACATTTTCTTTATTGAGAACTAATTTGCTAATTAAGAGTATCTGAAAAACCATTAACTGTGCACACTGTAACATATTATAATGTACGATTAACAAATAGATGGTAAAAAATAGAATTAAAACGAAAATAAGCTACAATTAAAATAAGAAAAAATACAAGATGATCACGTTCTCCAGCGTTCGCACATTTAGCTAACATATTTACAATATATTTCGAATCCTGGAACGGACCAATAGTGAGATAATGACGTCCATACGTAAAAGCCATTGCTCGAAGACAAAGACATCGCATTTCGGATTTTGCGGACAGCAAAAACCGATGATACACATTGTTGAAGAATTCGGGTCTAGAATTGCGAATTAATATTACCTACAATAAACCGTTAATAAATAAATTTTTATATTCCTTCGTTATATATCTGACACAATAAATATACGATAATCTCTGCTTTTTATGATGAACTGGACGAGAATCGATAAAAACTTCGTCCAAATCTAAATATTTTCAACGAAAAGAAAGATTTACGAATTATGTATTGAAGTTGCATTAGTTTCAGTTTCTTGCAAAAGAAGTCGTAAATAATAATCACCAATTTTTACCTCCTCCGCAAGCGATGTATAACAGATCTAAAAAAATAGAATAAAAGAAAAAAAATGCAAAATATTCATGAATTTGCCAAATAGACGTTTCACCAGTTTAGCACAATATTCAATTTGTTTATAAAGAAATAAAAAACTTGATTAAATCAGACACCTCAAAATCGGTGTAATTCCAGGCAATCGATGTGCCACTCGATGATAATTCCTTTTCTTGTTCGAGCATTCGCAATTCGGTTTCTATGCAACGGCGAAAATCTTCACGAGTTTTTTCATTCCAGATTAAATCAGCCTAAATATCTATATGAAACAAAAAACCAATATAAAAAATAATTAGTTAAAATTCTCCTTAATTCGTTAAATGCCCACTTTTGAATGATCTCTGGCAAATTGATATTGAAACATTTTCCAATTGATATAACATTTCAATCTTTGACGCCTTTTACGCAAAACGATTGGCTTTTGGATTTTGTCCTGAATTTTCCTTATCAATTCTTGTATTGTCTTCATGGTTTTCATATTTGGAATTTTTTTTATATAATTTTTCTTGAAATTTAGAAATTATCAAAGGAAATGAATTAATCTTACTACATCTCTTTTCTGAAAAAAAGATAATTTCTGATCCAAGTTCCAGTGCTGGAGAAACTGATCAAATTTAGCTTCCAAAGTTATTTGCATGGATTGCATTTGTTCCTAAAATATATCCTTTAAACTTTAAACAATTTAAAAACATTTTAAGAATAAAATTTGTAAAATTTGCCATGATAGAAATATAAGCCATTCAAAAAATTTTTAAATTTAAAAATTTAAAAATTTAAAAAATACCGTGAAAACTCCTTGTTTTGATTCCGATGTTGCGACTTTCAAATTATTTCTCATCAAAAGAAGGTCATTCTCTGCTATATGAGGTTTTTCAGCTGAGTCTAAATAATCCAGCAAACCACGAGGCTACAATTCAAGAACCATTTCTAACCAAGCAGATATCAAACCAATTTTTCTGATATTTGTAAGATTTTAGAAAAAATTGAAAGGAAACAAATTGAAAAAACTTACCAAACACCTGCTCAATAAATTCAAAGCCGCGCTATTTTCCGTAATCCATAATGATATAAGATGACCGCTAAGTTGTTTATTGGCAAGAACTCGTAGATCACGACCTGTTGAAAGCAGTGCCATGTGAAGGTGTTTCAAAAAAGCACCCTCTGTAAGTGAAAGCATTTGCATTTGTCTGGAAATATCGATTGTAGATTCTTCAATTATTGCTCGCATAACCAGTCCAGCACCTAAAATATTGGTCGAAAAAATAAAGAAAATATAAGTATAAAGACGACTTAATTCGAATTAGTCTACAAATTGACGTTTATGATTTGTTAAATCAATAGCAAAGTTCCTTTGGCCGTAAAAGCGATCTATTAAAAAACCTTTAACAATGGTCATTGATGGATATTGAAAAAGATGATAGAAACTATGCCCACGAGCTGCGACTAATTCTAAAATCGTATCAAATGTAGAACCAGATGTAGTTTCGCTATAAGGAGCACAAATAGCAAAAGTTAAAAAATCAAGCATGCTGGCTATAACCAAGGCACCAGTCGACCGTTCCTAAAAATATTCTGTGAATTTTGAAAATTTATGAAGTTTCCATGATTCCAGAGATGTAATAATTTTATATGCTTCATAGAATATTACTTCAAAAAAAATTTTTTTTTAAGAGCCCTCACCATTACTGATTAAATCCGCTCCGCTGGGCTGTCGTTCTAGACAAATGATAGATATGTCGCCGGTACTAGACCATGCGATCAGCTAAGCTATTCAGAGTCACCAATTAACGAGCCGTTTAAAGCTCGATTGGTTTTAATCTAATAGATGCGCTCGTCAATAAAATCGGAGCTTTGGTGCATGTATTAGCTCTAGAATTACCACAGTTATCCACGTAGGAAATCAAGATCAAGTATATAATAGCTGTTGTAATGAGCCGTTCGCGGTTTCACCATTTAAGGCAGTATGAACTTTGACATGCATGGCTTAGCCTTTGAGATAAGCATATGACCGCCGACAGAATCAATCGGGGACGTGATATGTGTATATGTATGCATGTGCGCGTAGGGCATGCTTGTTCCTCTATGCATCACAACATCAACAACACATCGAAAACGACACTTTTCATCTTTCATACGCTATTATCATCATGTATGAAAATATGCATAATACGAAAGCCGTCGTTTCTATTTTATATACATATACGTGAAACGAAGAGCATATACAATATACAGCATACGTGGCAACGATTTTCAACAATCACTCGGTACTACGTACGTCTGTATATACGCATATGAACATTCACATATATGTAATACATCGACATCATACGGTTTCCTCCTCATTCGACTAACACTACCACTATTGCTAATTCATCTTCCTATTTCAATAGCGTAGACATGAGAATAAGACTCATTCATACACATGAAATATGAATAGACA